AAAAAAAAAAAAAAAAAAAAAAATTTCTTTTGAAAGAAACCTTTTGGAAATTATTTGTTGAAATGTTGACATAAACCAAGTAACAGGATATCTAAGAAGTTTAAGGTTTCATTTCCTTTTTTTTTATTTTAAAAATCTGTTCTTTTTTCTGCTTTCTGTTTATCACGTTGGTTACTTAACTGTAGCAAAAATTTAGAAAGCAAATTGAGCTCATGTTTTTTGAGTAGATTAAATATCATTTCTTCATCTGCTATAAGAAAGCTATCAGTGATCAGTGTCAGATCAGAATGTTAAAATTAATGAATGCTTTGTTTTTTGAGAAACGCATTGTATACTTTTACAAACAGAAACAGAATACATTTTGAGGCTATCTGAAACATTAAAGAACTGTTCGTCGTAATCGTCTACATTTTTCCTTCATTTAAAATACAATGAGCACTGTATTTTGTGAAACCTTCGAAATAAGAAATAAAGTATTCTCGCTACTCCTCATGCTCTTTTCGTCTTCAACTCCTAAAATGAAAAAGGAAATGGAAAATTAAGTGTTTAACTTTTTTGAAAATTTGATGAGGTATTGTGGGCGAAAAAAAATTTTTTTTTAGGAAGTTCTTTGTGGTAATATTATTAGTTGAAGCAATAGTACTTAAACTGAAAAATAGCTTAGTTTAAATCTTTCTCCTAATACCACTCAATAGTTTGTTTTTTTTTTTGAAGACTTTAGGAAGATTTATAAAACGGTGTTCAAATAATATTAGATTACAACAGGCAATTTGAAGATTTGTTGTTGAGGTAAACTTAGATTTTTAGCTACACATTACTGAAAACTATGAAATTTTTTTAAATGTTAAAATTTTAATCCTATTTTTGACTGCCAAAAACATTTGCTCTCAGGAAACCCGCATTTACCGTTGGAAACGATTATGCTAGCAGTCAATAATTTTTTGCTAATAGTCGGCTTTTTGGTGTTTTATTTTAATTGTCTTTAAGCTAAAACACGTTTAAACTTAGCGAAAAAAAAGGCAAAATTATTTAGGTGTTTTTATTCAGTTTTTTATTTTACAAAACACTCTATTGTTTAATAATTTTAGTTGCGTTTTAGCGAAAAAATCTTAGCGCTTAAGTATGACATTTAAGTGGTCAATTTACTAAACTGTTTGAATAGCCGCAAAAAAAAAAAAAGTGATTCTGAAGTGAATCAACTAACAGCCACTGTATATTATTAATGTATAGATTGTATAGATTAAAGATTATAAAGTTTTTTTCCGATTAATTTTTCATTTATTATGAATGGTTAAGCATGAGTAGAAAGAACTGATGATAGATGAATGAAAAGAAAAAAGAATTATGTTGTGATGTTGAAGCGAATAAATGCATGACAATAGATGCTTCAGTGTTTCTTTATTTCGTGGTATCTGTGATGCTTATAAATGAGCATTATTGAACTTTGCTGATCGATACCGACTTCTTTTTTTTCTGTTTACTGCAGGGAAATTGCAAAAGGTAGCTGCAACGATAATGTCATTATTGTTCCGCATGTTCAGATTTCAGAGAATGAATCTCATTTGTTCAATCGAGCAATCTCATCTGGTGGTGGTATTTTGGGAGGTTAGTCAAACAACAAAAA